TCACCATTATATACATATGAATGTTTCTGTGTGGGTATGTGTTCACCGCTATTTTAAGCGATAAAATCTTTGCTCGCCCGATCAAAAAGTAATTTCTCTTAAATGTCTCAGCGATCTATTAAAATATTTCCAGAAAAGCACATATGATAAGAAAGTAATTTATCAAAGGTCAAGATGTGTCATTGATAGGGAGAAAAGGATTTCGAAAAAAAAATATGGCGAATCCAGAATTGATTGGATCAAATCTGACTCAGAGATAATATTGCAATATTTAAAAAAAAAAATTCAGACGAAGCAAATATTTCTCTAATTTGTCGATACTTATCGGTATTATAGACTGTCAAAAAAACTAGAGAAAATTTAATGTATTCTGAAAATAGATGAAAGCAGATCGGATTGGGAAAATTCTGAGGCGGGTTAATTTGAAAAAAATCTAGGGTCGTTAATTGACGAAAAATTGAAGAAGTGCAAGAAAAGAAACTATTAGAATAGAACTTACGGTTGCATCTAGAAGAAGAAAAAGAAGAAGAAGAAGAAGAAGAAGAAGAATGAGGAGAAGAAGAGAAGATGAAGACGAAGACGTAGAAGAAGAAGGGGGAGGCGGTGGAGAAGAAGAAGGAGGAGGAGAGAAAGTGGAGAAGAAGAAGAAGAAGAAGAAGAAGAAGAAGAAAAAGAAGAAGAAGCGGAGAAGATGAAGATAAAGGAGAATAATACTAAAAAGAAGAAGGAAGAGGAGGAGGAAGAGAAGACGAAGACGTAGTAGAAGAAGGAGGAGGCGGTGGAGAAGAAGAAGAAGGAGGAGGAGGAGGAGAAGAAGAAGAAGAAGAAGAAGAAGATAAAGAAAAAGGAGAATAATAAAAATAATAAGAAGAAGAATATGAAGAAGAAAAAGGATAATAATAATAATAATAATAAGAAGAAGAAGAAGAAGAAGAAGAAAGAGAAGAAGAAGAAGAAGAAGAAGAAGAAGTGGGAAGAGGAGGAGGGCGAGGAAGAGAAGATGAAAACGAAGACGTAGAAGAAGAAGGAGGCGGTGGAGAAGACGAAGGAGAAGATAGAAAAGAAGAAAGAAAGTGAACTATAGACGTTTTTTTTACAGATTTGATTCGAATGTGTGAATTAAAAATAATTATATAAATAGTCTTGCACTTTTCACCTGTAAAACTCACTTCCGGTTGGTTGCTTCCCTGATAACGACAATCTTCAATAATTCAAATGCGGCGTCATTCGCCATCTTCTGTCTTCGTGAAATCTGTATTTTCATTGTCCTTTCTCCTTATTAATTTTCCGTCAACTTGAATACGATCTCTCTTCAAGCGTGTGTATAAAATAATCTCCTGGAACTTGTATTTTAATAAAACCCAGAAGGGGGCTAAGACTATTGCTCCATTTACAACGTCTTACGCCCCGGAAAATAAAACGAACTGTAAAAACCATTCAAGGAAACAAATTATTATTATTTGATCCACCTTGCTCGGATATCCATGAGTCTATCACACCAATACTGACGATCTTTTATCATGGTCGGAATGTCATTAACGTGTCATAACATGGCTGGTCAATGTAGGTGATTGCTGGATGATCAAACCGTCTTGCTCTATGATCAATCACTAGTTTGTTGCTAGATTGTATAAATATCTAGGGACGATAACATCACAGCTCAAATATGAAATACACAATCACACATCACATCTTCTCAGCCGAGATTGAACTCACTAATACTTTGATTGGTGTAGTTCATAATCTTGTCAAATAGCTGAATTCTTGATGATTCGCTAGGGCTATCAAGGGTGTTTTTTTATCGTGACACCATCACTAAATGGATTGCCAACCAAGGCTCAGAGAGACTCCATTCACCCTCCTCTAAGAGCAGGTTTGAATTCAGAGTTTTCCTTCTCCTAGACCAGTTGCCATCCAAGGCTATAGAACACAGTCTGTCCTGTTATTTACCTCTAGCTGGAGGGAGAAGAAAGAGGATCACACCTTTCCCAAGGGTGTTAGCACGTAAGTGAATGTGATGGATTCGACTGGAATTCGAACTCTGCTCTCCGATTCCTCAATCCAAGCCGCTATCCATTACTCCACCGTGCCTCCTATGATGCACAATAAGGATAGAACTCCTGGAATTATTACTTTTATATGAAACAAATATGCAAACCCTTATATTATATCAGTAGAAGAAAAGGCTATATATTACTTTATGACGATATACAAAGGATGAGGTGGGAGAGGTCATGTTGATGACTTAGTTATTCAGATTTGGGATAATAGTGATCTTGTAAAGAATATCAACATCTTCTGTCACGTGCTCCAAGAAATAAGGCTTAAACATTACCAAACAGAAAACTATGATCTGGAATTGGAATGAAACCGGATGCAGCAGCTACTCCAAACCGATCATAAAAATTCAGGATTTTGATTTAGTAAGATATCAACACTAAGCATAAACTGCCTGAGAGGGTGCAAGTTCATCAGTAAAAGGATGAGCCCCGAATGCGATTTGAAGGTCGGGAACGCTAGAATTAAGCAGGCGCGGAAGTTTAAATATCTGGGAAGCGTCTTGACAGAGGACGGTAAATGCAACACTGCAGCCTTGTGCCACAATTATGTATTTTTACCCAATAAATCTTGAGATCCGTAGACGTATTGGGATGGCCAAGAACACATTCCAAAAGCTGGGCAGAGTATTGCGAGACAGGAGGATTTCTTTGATAACAAAGAAAAGAATACTGAGCTGTTACGTGGCATCGGTCCTTCTTTATGGCAGTGAATGTTGGACGATTTCCTCAAAGATGAAGAAGAGACTCGAGACGGGAGAGATGTGGTTCTACAGAAGGATGCTGAGGATATCATGGACTGAGCGTGTGAGCAACGATGAGGTCTTAGAAATGATGCAAACCAGGAGGGGGCTTATAATTAACATCAGGAAGAGGTAGCTGAAGTTTCTGGGACTCATAATGAGGAAGAAGGGCCTGGAGAATCTGATACTCACAGGTCGAATAGAGGGAAAGAGAGATAAGGGAAAACAACGCGTGACATTTCTAGCAGACTTAAGCAAGTGGATGACAGAACGTGGCCTGGGGGAGGAAGCAGAGGGAAGGAACTTGTTGAGAGCTGCAAGGGATAGAGGGAGATGGAGAGCCATGATCGCCTACATCCTGAAAGAACATGCCACATAAAAAGAAAAGAAACGGTATCAAAAATTTCAAATACTTTGGTGTATGGATCAGTTATAACAAGTTTAGCATAGCAGATAAAGAAACTGAACATAAAATAGGCTGCGCTAGAGGTAGTTTCAGTCAATTACAACATATTTTTCTTTAAAACCAGTACATTAAACTTGAAAATCTATCATGTTACCTAATAAAACTTTTGTTTGAAGTTTCATTGGTAAACTGGTATTTTAATGTTTTCATTAGGAAAAATTTGGCCTCCATTGCTGTTATCGTTCCAGCATTAAATAATTTTCCTTCCAAACCATTTATTTGAAAATGAAATGTCAACATCTTGATTATGTCATTATTTTCTCTTCTCAAGCCCAGTAGCTGTTATCATTTTAGTATTGATGGGAGTTTCCTTCCAAACCTTTTGTTTGAAGTAGTGTGGAATGTCAACATCTTGATTATGTCATTATTTATAGTCTTCTCAAGCCCAGTAGCTGTTATCACTCTTTCCAGTATTGATGGAGGTTTCCTTCCAAACCTTTTATTTGAAGTAGTGTGGAATGACAACATCTTGATTATGTCATTATTTTCTCTTCTCAAGACAAGTATATGTTTTCACTCTTTCCAGTATTGATGGGCAGTTTCCTTCCAAACCTTTTGTTTGAAGTAATGTGGAATGTCAACATCTTGATTATGTCATTATTTTCTCTTCTCAAGCCCAGTAGCTGTTATCACTCTTTCCAGTATTGATGGGAGTTTCCTTCCAAAACTTTTGTTTGAAGTTGTGTGGAATGTCAACATCTTGATTATGCCAGTATTTTCTCTTCTCAAGCCCAGTAGATGTTATCACTCTTTCCAGTATTGATGGGGAGTTTCCTTCCAAACCTTTTGTTTGAAGTAGTGTAGAATGTCAACATCTTGATTATGTCATTATTTTCTCTTCAAGTTACACGAGGAATCCATTTTAGTTGTTGCCGTTGTTGGAAGTCCTCAAGTGAAGTTGTTTCTGTTATTTGCTTCAGTTCTCTATGATTCTGTATCTCTAACTCGTAATGTTTGGCAAAGTATGGTCCTCACTAAGACCTACTTGCTTCATTTACTGACAATAATTAATGTAAGGTGTATAAACATATATGGGATTAAGTTTATAAATTGCACAAGCACACTCGCTATTCCGACCCCAAGCATCAGAGATTAACCATTACCTTAACACTTTAGATGTTTTTATTTTGTTTTGTTTTTTTCTGTTTTAGTGAAGCTCAGAAACCTTATTACAGGAGATTGCAAATGACCATAGATAATATATGCTTTCTTTCTCGATTAAAAATGCTCAGCATGAAATATCATAACATTGGGTCTTCAATTTTAAAACTTAGTCATTGCTGTGATAATTAATAATATATTTCTCCTTCTATGTGGCCTTTCCTTTCAGGGCGTTGATAATCATGTGCTATTCATTTTAGTTGTTGCTGCTCTAGGTAGTCCCCAAGTGATGCGGTTTCTATTATTTGGTACAGCTCATTGCTTGTAATTCTGTAGCGACAGTACACAATGTTCAAAGAAGGTCTTTGATTATTCTGTCAGGAATTTACATGCAAAAAACATTTTTTCACCATTGATCATCAAGCGATTGTCCTGATAGATTTACATGAGAGAGAAAAAACATTTTTCAATGAAGGAAACATTTAGACTGTTCATAGGAACAACCTAAATTTTAGATAGATAGGATGATAGATAGATAGATAGATAGATAGATAGATAGTTGTTTGCAATACTGAATAATAAGAAAAGAGATAGATAATGAACATAGATTCATATATTTATAGAGAGATTTCTCTAAGAGAAAAGAAGGAATACGAGTGACAATGAAGGAAAGAGAGAGAAAGTAAACAACCTAAGTGATAGATAGATAGATAGATAGATAGATAGATAGATAGATAGATAGATAGATAGATAGATAGATAGATTAGAAAGAGATAGATAGATAGATAGATAGATAGATAATACTATTATATGATGCTTAAAAAGAGAGAGAGATAGATAGATAATAGATAGATATAGATAGATATTTAGAATAGATAGATAGATAGATAAATGTTTGAATTTAAAAAAGAAAGAATTATTTTGAATATAGATTCAAAGAGAGAAAAAGAGGAATTTACGAGTGACAGTGAAGGAAAAAGTGAGAAAAATCCAACCTAAGCGATAGATAGATAGATAGATAGATAGATAGATAGATAGATAGATAGATATAGATAGTTTTACTGTGATAGATAGAGACAGATAATGAACATAGATTTATAGATACAGAGATAGAGAAAAGAAGGAATATAGACAATGAAGATAAGAGAGAAAGATAACAACCTAATTGATAATGAGATAGATAGATATATGATAATAGATAGATAGATAGATGTTTAGATAACGAGCAGATTGTAATAAATGGAAGATATAAAGATATATAAAGAACAGACCTAAGTTTAGATAATTTCGATAGATAGATAGATAGATAGATAGATAGATAGATAGATAAATGCAATACTGAGAAAGAAAAGAAGATAATGAACATAATCATATATATAGAGAGACAATGAAGAAAGAAGGAATAAGAAAGAGAGAAAAAGAAAACAACCTAAGTGATAGATAGATAGATAGATAGATAGATAGATAGATAGATAGATAGATAGATATCTCAAGAGATAGATAGATAGATAGATAGATGCTTAGAAAGAGATAGATAGATAGATATAGATAGATAGATAGATAGATAGATAGATAGATAGATAGATAGATAGATGTTTGCAATACTAAGAAAGAAAGAGAGAGATAATGAATATAGATTCATAGAGAGAGAGGGAAAGAGAGAAAGAAGGAATAGATGACATGAAGATAGAAAGTGAACAACCTAAGCATAGATAGATAGATATATAGATATAGATAGATAGATAGATATAGATACCTAGATAATACTGTGATAAAGAGATAGATAATGAACATAGATTTATAGATACAGAGAGAGATAGATAAATTTTTTAACAGAATGAAGGAAAGAGATAGAAAAGTGAACAACCTTGATAGATAGATTATAGATAGATAATAGATAGATAGATTTCTCTAAATAGATAATAACGAGCAGATTGTAATAAATGGAAAGATATATAGAGATATATAAGGAACAGACCTAAGCATAGATAGATAGATAGATAGATAGATAGATAGATAGATAGATAGATAGATAGATGTTTGCAATACTGTGATAGAAAGAGACAGATAATGAACATAGATAGATAGATAGATAGATAGATAGATAGATAGATAGATAGATAGATTGTAATAAATGGAAAGATATATAGAGATATATAAGGAACAGACCTAAGCATAGATAGATAGATAGATACTGAACAGCAGATTGCAACAAATACAGAGGTAGAAAGTGACAGATAATGAAGCAATTGTATACAGATGAGAGTTTATATATTTCTAAACGGATTTGGCGCCACGCGTGACATCCATATTGAATGTCTCGCTCTGACGAGATTATTTAAGATCATGAAAGGTGTTTTCAGGCTGATGATTTCGTTTCTAGCGATCGTGTGGCGCTGGGCAAAACTAACTCTGGCGCAACCTATTCTTATGAAGCCCATAATGTTTGATTTAAATATATTTGATTCACCTGTTCACAGTAACTATAACTTTGGCTCCAGAGAAAAAATGTTGACCTTTCCTGACCTTTTTCAATTTTTCAGAACGGAACATCTAAGCATCTGCTGGTGCAAAATTTAAAAAAAATAATGCAACAAATCTGATCTTCTGTCTTCTTTCATTTTGAGTCGTTTCTTAAATATAATGCATCTTCGTGTTTTCACGGTGCAGTAAGGTGCAAACATACATTATGCGGGTGCTAATTAAAGGACAACTCTTCAGCAAGGAGAATTTCCATCAAAATCACTCCAGTAGCAATAATAGCATGTTGGAAAGTATCCATTGTTTTCACACGTCTATGAAGTTCAATTGGTGCACAACCTTCTAAAAGCAAAATTCCTGTCACTGTTCGCTGCTTCGTCAAAAATCGGAACGCAGCAGGAGAGATTACTGGTTAATCAGAGCTCGTTTTACTCGAGGCTATCACGAAATGAAATGACAGCCTGAACAGGATTCTATACGGGTATATGGCGAGATAGAAGATCACACGTTTCTACCCGATCTAATTGTGTGTAGGGAGAAGAAGAGAAAATAAAACAGAGGAAAACAGTTATTTGAACAGCCCAAGATAGCTAGCTAGAGCTCAAGATAGATAGATAGATAGATAGATAGATAGATAGATAGATAGATAGATAGATAGATAGATATGAAGAACTCGAGATAGATAGATAGATATGAAGAACTCGAGATAGATAGATAGATAGATAGATAGATAGATAGATAGATATGAAGAACTCGAGATAGATAGATAGATAGATAGATAGATAGATAGATAGATAGATAGATAGATAGATATGAAGAACTCGAGATAGATAGATAGATAGATAGATAGATAGATAGATAGATAGATAGATAGATAGATAGATAGATAGAACTGATAGATAGATAGATAGATAGATAGATAGATAGATAGATAGATAGATAGATAGATAGATATGAAGAACTCGGGATAGATAGATAGATAGATAGATAGATAGATAGATAGATAGATAGATAGATAGATATGAAGAACTCAGATAGATAGATAGATAGATAGATAGATAGATAGATAGATAGATAGATATATGAAGAACTGAAGAGATAGATAGATAGATAGATAGATAGATAGATAGATAGATAGATAGAAGATAGATAGATAGATAGATATAGATAGATAGATAGATAGATAGATAGATAGATAGATAGATAGATAGATAGATAGAGATAGATAGATAGATATGAAGAACTAGATAGATAGATAGATAGATAGATAGATAGATAGATAGATAGATAGATAGATAGATAGATAATAGATAGATAAATATGAAGATCTCAAAGATAGAAAGATAAATGAATAGATCTAGATAGATAGATAGATATGAAGAACTCCAGATAGATAGATAGATAGATAGATAGATAGATAGATAGATAGATAGATAGATTGATAGATAGATAGGCTGGCGTAAGTTATAACTTTCAAGGAAATCTTAAAATTGATGACCAATCAAAACTAAATATCTACCTGTAAATATCTTAAAAGATACTCAATGTATATATCGTTATCAAGATCCATTTATGAAATTATATCGACGTGGGTCAGTCAGTCGGTAACCTTCGTTATATTTTTTTTTTTTATCTAATATTACTAGAATATGAAGCATTACAAAATTAACTAAAATGTCTCTGGATTCCAAATCTTATCCTAAACGTAAGCTTTTTCTGTCTCAGTCACTGATCAATCAGAAAGTCGATGTACGGGTGGCTTATTGTATTCTACTTTTTCCTTATGTGCCGTATTTTTTCATGACGTAGACGATCGTGGCCCTCCACATCTTCCTGTTCCTTGTAGCTCTTAATAAGGTTTTTTTGGTTATTTCTCCCAAACGCTGTTCTACCATCCAAGTACCAAATATGTTACGCGCTGTTTTCCTCTGTTCCTTTCTCCCTCAATCTGTCCTGTGAGTATCAGATTTTCCAAGCCCTCTTTCCTCATTACGTGCCCCACTGGGCGAGGACTTAATTCCAATAGACTTAACCCCTTTCACGTCGTTAGCTTTCATATTTTGTTTGATAAAAATGCCATGATATTTCTTGGGATTGATAGTAAAGTTTTATTATTATTATTATTATTATTATTATTATTATTTTCCGTTGACTTCTTCATGGTTCAGTGATAAATCGGAAATACGGGTTCGAATTCCAGTCGCGGTCATTACGCACGAATATCTGAGTTCATATCCTCCCACCAGCTATGGGTTAAATAATAGAACTTGCAAAAATCATTGTTATTGTTTAAAAAAATTGTTACTACAATATTCACTCATAAAAAAAACTCTTACAGTCTAAAATATGTTCAGCTTTAAAAACAAAACACTCAAAGGGTTGATAAGCCGTAAATAACAAATCAGTAAAATTATAACATATTTAATAGTAGAAGCAAACAATGTCGAACAAAATGGACGCAAATGCTTGAGTATTCTCAACATAGTCTCCTTCTTTCTCAGTTGCGTTATCCCAACTCTTAATGGACTTACGGTCATATCACATTAAAATATTGGTTCTCGTCAGATCACCGAAGTTAAGTAACGTCGATCCTGGTCAGTCTCTAGATGGGTGAATAGATGTGAATACCAGGGTCTGTAAGCTCGGATGTGCGGTCGGTGTAATATATAATGTCTGGTAATTGTAAATGGACGACCCGCGTTCGAATTTCATTTGGGTTCACTTACGCGCAAATAACCTCGTGAAAGGCATGAATCCAACTCTCTATCCCTAGCTATGGGTTCATTAATAAAACTTTTATCAGTAAAATAATTATCTCCAAAAAATTCTTACAATGTAAAAAATATTTTCTGGCTTTAAATAACCTGCAAAGGGTTGATAATCAGTAAAAGAACAATTCAAATCAACTTTGAACGAGGACATATAAACATACGTATATTCAATATTTCGCTAAAAAGAGCATCCCCTGTTGAAAAAAAAGGCCCCAAAGTTGATAAATAATTTTTTGTCGTCTTAATGTTTATGTTATTATTAAGAGAGGAAATTTGTTTTACAACTGAACAGAAGGCGCTAAAAAAATTATACTAAATATTACGAAACCGTTGACTTAAAACAAACAAGATTTTTAATCAAAATTTCGAACGTGCTAGAAAGAATAAATTTTTTTTTTTAAATAATTTTAAAATACTTTGATCTATTCTCTTAATAATAACATTTTGACGATAAAACAGCGTTCCTGTTAAGTTTGTGGCCTTTTTTCATTGTGCTATGCTGCTTTTCGGCGAATTATTGAAGATACCTCTATATAAAAAGGCCCCACAAAACCATCTGCCAATATGCGTGTGCCAGCTTACAAATTATCATTAGGAAAAGTAACTCTAAGAGTTCAAGTAGATGAAAGTTTGAGGATTCCAAATGACAACTAGCGGGTACATGAGGCAAGGTTGTTCATCTCTACGTTGTTATTGAAGCTGTTATGGTGTCTTGCATTTTGATTACTTTCTCATTAGGGACGCCATTAAATCTACTGAATAATGTCCTCACTGTCCTTTCATCAAGTGTAGCATTTTCATAGACATTTACTAGCTTCCGGTGAATGTTTGCAACACTTTCAGAAATCCTTTGCTTTCTCCGTGTGACTATCGTTGAAGCCATTTTCAAAACAGCCTTTTCCTTTGACTTATTGTTATTTTATTTCACTTGCAAATTGATTTCCGCTACGCAATAAATATACCCATTAGCTCAGCACTGGTTGTACCGGTAACAAACCTGTAGCTTCATCTATGGAAAGAAGTCGTCACCTTTCCATGTAAAAATTGGTACCAAATGCACTGAAATTTTAATTGTTCAATTTCTTTTCATTTCCTTTTGTTTGAACAATCAACACCCTCCAAAAAGGACGCCACATTTTCTGTCATTTGCAGACGACATTGTTTACAGTAACTGATCAATCAAATCGCTGTAAAACCTTACTAATTTTTTCTTTTCGAAATGCTGAGCAGAAAAATAGCAAAATATATCTTTAAACAAAATAATTTATAAGCAACTCTTAAATTTTAGAACCAGCTTTTGAGCCGATTGTTTTTCTGTTAATTTCGATAACAAATCTGAGTTATCCAGTCTTCGGTAAACTTACTCATTTGACATTGTTCAACATTCAGTTGTATTCATAGAAATCTTATAATTTATATTCTGTTTACGTTATCTGCATTGTTCCGACCGCTGTCCTCATCTTTATGAAAAAAATAAAAAAAATAAAATACTAATTTTTATTTCAAGTTGTGAATATTAATTTTATATTAAGCATAAAGGGAGATTACTAGCTATTTAAAAAAAGAAATTAAAAAAACAAAAATATTAAAATAACCGATATAAGCAAAATGTCATAATTTACATTGAATATATATATATATATATATATATATATATTTGGATTGATGTGAGTTTGTGACCCTGGGTTTCACGCTATTTGCGATCGTCAGACAGCGTGAAACACAGGGTCACAAACTCACATCAATTCAACCAAATATGTTAGCTCTATCTCTGATATTGAGCGCTTTTTAATAAGTACTGCGCATATATAACATATAAATAATATATATATGAATTGCATATATATATATATATATATATATATATATACAGATTTTTACACACATCTATATAATCTTATATATATATATATATTTTTTAATATATAAAATCTTAAATATACATATATATATATATATATATATATATATAGTCTTAAATATTACTCAGTAAAATATAAGCACTAAAAATATATCGTATGTTTCAATCAATATTAAAAATATTTCTTAATATAACTTCTCTAATATTGTTTAATATATTGAATTATTTTTAATATATTTTCCTCTTATGAGTCAGTCAGTTATGTGCCTTGCGTGATACACGCTTAGGCGATCATGTATCTTTCGATACATGACTGACGACACAGATTATTTCCTGCAGTAGGTTGCCATTTCTTTTTGTGTTAGACCAGTTGCCATCCAAGGCTACAGAACCCGGTCTGTCCTGCTATTTAATCTACCCATAGCGGAGGGGGGGGGAAGAAGAGGATTCATACCTTTCCCAAAGGTATTAGCACGTAAGTGAATTCGAACTCAGCTCTCCGATTCCTCAATCCGAGCCGCTATCCATTACTCCACCGTAATAGAAGAGCAAGGTGGAGTAATGGATAGCGGCTG